GGCTTAAAACCTGCCTGTGCTGTTTCCTTAGCTGCCCTCTATCTGATTCCTCAGTGCCTTGGCTTTCTTACCTGAGAAATGCAGGAAATCACATTCCTGCACCCTGGGCAGGAATGTTATGAGAATGGAAAGACAATGTGGGTGGGCCAGGTAGGAAGAGGGCAGTCCCTCACTCTTGTAAGAGATCGGTAAATGCTCAGTGGTCCCGTGACCCCACAAGTTCCTCTGAACCAAATCACCCCTCAGCCATGCCTCCAAAACCTTTCCTGCATGTGGTAAAGCAGTCCACACACTGCAGAACTGTTTTTGGAGGGGCCTCTGCACTCCAGTCATCTCTGGGGTCGGAGTCTTCTTCCCCTCAGAGAGGCTGTGTCTTCTGTCTGTGCAAAAATTGCTTCAGGATAGAATCTAAGCATGGAAGAATGTCCAGTTCATCCAGATGCTGGTCAGGGGTGGGGGGACAAGGGTGGTGGGCCTGCGGCAGGGTCCCCCACAGTGCAGGGTCACCGTGTAAGCTCCAGAGGCCACTATGCATACTGACACCCCACTATGCATACTGACACATCCCATCAAGTTGCCTCGAGCTGTCACTTGTTAGCAAACTTATGCTGTAAATATCCTCTCACCTTCCTTAATTTTTTTTTTTTTTTTGGTCAGTCATGGGGCTTGAACTCAGGGCCTGAGCGCTGTCCCCCAGCTCTTCAGCTCAAGGCTAGCGCTCTACCACTTGAGCCACAGCTCCACTTCCTGGCTTTTTCTGCTTATGTGGTGCTGAGGAATCAAACCCAGGGTCTCATGCATGCAAGGCAAGCACTCAACCACTGAGCCACCTTCCCAGCCCCATCCTCGCGCCTTTCTACACAGCCTGGTTTGTTTCCCCTATATTCTTATATTGTCCAAATCCCTACTTTCATGAATAATTTTTCTAAAATTGGAGGGAAAGCCATCCAACCAATGCTTTTGAAAACCTGTTTTTCTCATCTGCAATGACTTTGCACTGTTTTGAGTTAGATGATGCTTGTCATGAAAGTCCTTCGTAGTGCATGCTTAGGAAGATGATTTTGTATGCTATTTTCAAGTAAAAATGAATACTTTGAAATTCAATATTCTTCACGTTTTATCGGGATCTAGCTTGAAATACACCTGAGCAAATATGGCAACCCTAGATAGAACCATCACTTACATGGAGAATCAAAAGGCCAGGTTGTTGACAGAAATCATTTATTTGTAGTTGTGGATCAAAAGACTTGATTTCCTACTGGCTGTTAGAAGTCACTCTGAGTTTCATGTCATTCATAATAATACAGCAGCTTGCTCCAAGGCCAGCAAGAGAGTCTTGTATGGTTATCTGGTCACAGGCTGAATCTCAATGGATGCACATGCACACATGTATGTAAATCATGAGATTAATATACCACCTCCTTTGCCATATTTTTGGTGAGAAGCAAGTGCTAAGCAAGATCTTCCCTTATTCGACGGGAGGAGATGGACAGGCAGGTGAACACAGGAGGCAAGAGTTCGCCCACAGAGGCTCCGTTAGAACTCAGAGAGTGGCTGAGAATTACTTATAAATTATTCCTTATCATTCTTCTCCAGTCTAGTGATCATAAAGGGAGTTTGTAATGCATTGATTTTAGTTGTCATCCTGAAAAAGAAGGAGAAGAAGAAAAGAAGACTAGAAAGAAGGTGGAATAGAGAAGAAAGGCAGAGGAAAGAGGAGGGACAAGATAGAGTTCATAAGCAATGTAGACTAAAATAATGATGACTATTATTGTAAGGATGAAAAGGTGTTTGCAACTTTAAAAAATATAATAAAAAGAAAAAAGAGAAGGAGGACAAGGAAGAGAGGAAGAAGAAAGGAAGCTAAAAGAGAAGAAGGAGGAAGAGGAGGAGAGGAGGAAAAAGGAGAGGAAGGAGGAGAAGAAGGAAGAGGAGGATGAGAAGAACAAAGAAAGCAGAAGGAAGAGGAGGAGGAGGAGCAGGAGGAAGAGGAGGAGGAGGAAGAGGAGCAGGAGGAGAAGGAGGAAGAGGAGGAGGAGGAGGAAGAGGAGGAGCAGGAGGAGGAGCAGGAGGAGGAGGAGGAGGAGGAGGAAGAGGAGGAGCAGGAGGAGGAGCAGGAGGAGGAGGAGAGGGAGGAGGAGGAAAGGGAGGAGGAAGGACCACCTGTGGATGCTGTAGGACACAGAGGGTAAAGATAAATAGGAGAGACAAATAATGAGTTGAAGCACACTCACGTAAGAGGTCAGAATCCCCCAGATTTAGGATGACTGGCTGTTGCTTGGTTGCTCCGTGCTTGCTGCTTTTGTAACCAGTTTTACTTGGCTTTCCTCGCATGCTGGTGGTGATGAGCTCCAGGCTGCCTCTCTCCTCCAGGGCTGTTCCTGCCCCAGTCAGGAGTGCAGTTCCACCATCTCTGTGCCTCCCTGGGTGTCTTTAACACCTAAATCCTCTGAGGAGGTGAGGCTGCTGCTTGCTTCAGAGCCTGAGCTCAGGGATGGGTTACCATCTGTCTCAAACTTTTCAAGGCACTTTTTGCTAAAGCCAGTGTGGATTGGCAGCAATAATCTGGGAGTGTGGGCTCAGAAGAGGAGACATAAAGGAGCCCTGAGCACGGTTTGAAGCACTTTGGTTTGCTAGTAGTATTTGTAAGGAATGAAAAATTGATCCTTAATTGTGTGAGGAGCTGAAAAGCCATCTGCATGCCAATGGCCAAGTCCAGACTTCAGGGACTGAACAGTTTTGAAACTGATATTTATGAACATCTGCTTTTCCCCCATAAATTTTAATATGGATTTCATCCTTTGAAACCTACAAAACTCCCAGGTGCTTCTTCAACCATTATCTTGGGGAACATTCTTTAAAAAAAAAAAAGAAAGAAAGAAAAAGAAAAAAGTCTTCATTTTCCCAAGCAACACACTCTAAATCACTTCTATAAAAATGCTTTCTGATATATACAGTGCTATTGGAATGCCTGTAATAAGCTATTAAATGTTAGGAATACAAAAGCTGTGGTCAGCATTTTCTGCTAAGCCCAAGGTACAGACCATCAGAGTCTTAGTAATCAAAGCTGGAAAGTATTTATTCTGTTATTCCACAAGTAGCTTTTTTTTTTTTTTTTTTTTTTTTTTGTCATTCATGGGGCTTGAACTCTGGGCCTTGGCACTGCCTTTCCAGTTTTCTAGTGGTTTATTGGAGATAAAGAGTCTCACCAACCTTTCCTGCCCAGGCTGGCTTTGAACCATGATCCTCAGATCTCAGCCTCCTGAGTAGCTAGGATTACAGGCATGAGCCACAGGCACACAGCTCCACAAGTATCTTTTAATGCTTGCTACGTACCAGGCACTTTTAGGTGCTGAGGTTTACCATAACGAACTCTACAGACAAATCCCTGTCTTTGGGACAGACTAGGCTGTAGTCTTTAGCAATGTTCTCTTTAAAACAAAAATCTCCTTAAATTTCCATGTAGTGCATTGGAAACAGGCTGTGCACTGAGCCTGCCAAGCGGTGATGCTGCTCCATTCCTGATACCAAACTTGACCCTGGGCACAGAGCTGTGTAAACGAAACACATATGTGCCTGCTCTCCAGGAGCCAGCATCTCACACTGTCTTACCTGGATCAAGAAGAGGAGGAGGACGAGGGGGGAGGATTTGGGAGACCCTAGTTCCTCCTCAATCAGGTACCTGAAGCAATGCAAGCATCACCTGTGCCACTCAACTCTTGAGAACACATGGAATTCCTCAGGTAGAGAAGACAGGAGCCCTCGGGGCCAAAGATTGGGAATCAAATAACAGCTCAACAGAAGACAAATGCAAAATGGATACAAAAGGAAGCTGTAGTTAACAAGATTGTTAACTTGGGAGCAACCCTTGAAGAGGACAGTCCTAGCCATTTTGTAATGATGGGTTTGAGTTATTTGCCTAAGAGAAAGTTTAGGGGGACAGTAAGTTACTTAACTCAGACTGATAGATTTCCATCCATTTACAATCTAATGGAACCTCTTCACTCTGCCGCTTGCCAGATGGACCCTCAAAATGGGCGTTCTCTTTGGTGTATCGAATTCCACTCAAAGGCTCAGAGGAGAAAAATAATTAATTTGCTGATAAATAAGACTGATTTCTGTTAAAACCAAGAAAGACATATTATGGAATACCATGCAAAATTTGCATCTGTATTTAAGATAAAGCCTTAAAACTAAGTAATTAATTACTTAGAACTCTGTGCCCAGGGTCAAGTTTGGTATCAGGAATGGAGCAGCATCACCGCTTGGCAGGCTCAGTGCACAGCCTGTTTCCAATGCACTACATGGAAATTTAAGGAGATTTTTGTTTTAAAGAGAACATTGCTAAAGACTACAGCCTAGTCTGTCCCAGAATTACTTAAAACTAAGTAATTCTGGAGCCTGATGAGTAGTTCTGAAGGACGAAGGCCCTATTTCCCATCGACTCGTTCGTTGCAAAGCCAACCTTATTAAAGAAATATTTTTGGAACCTGTAGACAGGGACAGGAGGGAGAGACTGGGGGAGAGGGAAGGAAAAGATGACGTTGCCCCGAAAAGAACTGCACTTGTTATCTTCTTATGAAAGGGTAACCCCGTCCGTGTAACATCTCAATAATAGCAAACACATTACATTAAAAAAAAATGTTGAATGAATGAATTGGTGGTCAATATTAAATAAAATGTAAATTAAAATGTAGTATTTCCTTCAGCCACACTGGGGCTTGGCTGGGTCTCTGCAATTCTGGAATTGCTACTTGTGACACCTTTCCCAGAACCCCAACACCCAGGCCCTGAGGCCATGCCCCTCCCCTCCACAATCAACAAATGTGCGTGTTTGAAGAGTTCGAGCTGACTGTTCCAACTCTAACTGACCAAGTACTGAGCCTGCCCAAGCAGAGCACTGACGTCCCAACTGAGCGCCCTCCTCCACTGGTGTGGACATGCAGAGTGGTGGCAGGCTGCTCCAGTCATGTTCTGTGTGCTTCGTGTTTCCCAAACAGGCTCTGGACCAGGTTCAGCTCCATCTGGAAGAAGTGCGGTTCTTTGACGTGTTTGGCTTCAGTGAAGCAGCTGGAGCGTGGCAGTGCTTTATGTGCAACAACCCTGAAAAAGCAAGTGGTAAGAAGCCCCTGCTGCCGCAGAGAGCTGGTGACACCAGGTGGACGAGGGTCCGGGAGCCCCGCTGTTCTAGCTGGCCAATCTCTTACTCAAATGCCCTGAGTAGCCATCATGCAGAGCCATGCCTAGTGCCTATTCCCTGCTTCATGCTGAGAAAGGCAGCTCACCCAAGTGAGCATCCGAGAAAAGGCAGGGCGAGAAACAGAGGTAATGAGCCCAAGAACACAGCCCCATCTCCCTGAGTGAGCAGGTGCACATTACCCCTGGCTATCCCTCATCGTGGGGCTGGGCGATGGAACTGTGTAAAAGTGAAAGACTTTAAGAGGAAGTAAATGTCCAAAGAATAATTGATTATCAGTTATTCACCCTTCCTCCCTTTTCTGCTGTTTGAGTTTACTGACCTTGTCTAAACATAATAATAATGAGAGCCAGGTAATGTACTACCATATCAGACACTGTATCTCATTTAGTAGATACAATAACCTTAGGAAGTATTTATCTCTGACTTACTGAGGGGGAGACTAAGGCAGGAGACTAAGGTCCTATGGGGTTTGAACCCAACCAACTCCAGAGCCCACGTTCTGCATCCTGGTGGTACTGGACACAGTCTGGCTGGTAGAAATAGGGGGAAGGTGAGTCTAGGGCTACGAGGTCAGGTTGTCTTTGGAAATGGAATCTTCCATGATTCGTTTTCCTGCTGGGAAGAGAGCATCCTCACCACTCAATCATAGGAGCAGTGCTCAGGCCCCGCGGGATGCTGGGAATCCATTGATGATGATGCCTGCGCTCAGCCCTTTCCTTTGGAGGTTTTGTGGTTCTCAGGGTGATCCATTGCAGGACGTCTGCTCTCCGGTTCACTGCCAGAGTGTAGAGACTGGAATGAGAAAGCGTGTGTATTTGGCCAGATGGAGGTGTGAGGGGCTCACAAACACCAATTAAAATGCATTGCTCCCTAGAATAGCTGCAGAATGGAAATGTTGGCAGAGGAGGCTGCAGCCTTTGTGAGGCACAGATTGCTGCTGGCTGATTAGAGAGGCACCAGAGTGAGCACCCCAATTTTTTGATCCAAGTAAATAAGGGATTGGAGAATTGAGTGGCTCTGATATAAAACTTTCTACCTAGACCTTATTTCATATATATATAATATATTTCATATATATATATTATATATATATATTCTACCTAGACCTTATTTCATATCTATATTTCATGTATATATATATATATACATATACATATACACACACACACACACACACATATATATATATATATATATATATATATGAAAGCAACAACTTACTGGAGAGCATGGTGAAATGAGGTACTTATCCCTTCAGAGTTCCCACTCCAAGTTCAATAAGTATCTCCTTGTATCCGCCCAAGAGAGGCCTCTGGAATGGGACACGCGCTGGACACACAACGTGTTCCTTGAGAATCTGTTCTCCCAGATTCACTGCCATGCACTTGGAAGGAACATTTATTCTCTCTTATTTGTGTTTCTCACAGTTAAATATAGACTGGGAACATACAGCAATAAAAAGCCAAACAAGGCCCGATATTTTATAGCAGAACATATTGAATCAAAATGTTTGGCCCTGAAAATCTCAGTGCGATGGATTTCTTTGCTCATTTCATTTTGCTACATGAAACTCATTTAGGTCCGAGGGAAATCCTATTTTCAACTCTTTTTTTTTTCTGCCCCTAAAAAAGAAAAAAAATATTCCCTGAGCTTATATTTGTTGTTGGTTTCATTTTATTTCTAAACATACAAATTATGCATTTACTCTGAATGAAAGCTCTTATATAATACTATGTCCATGTGTGCTTCTCTTTTTATATTTTCTTTTCTTTATTCTTTTTTTTTTTTTTTTCCGTAGAGCTTGATCTCTGGGCCTGGGTGTCTCTGAGTTCTTTTGCTCAGGCAAGCACTCTACTACTTTGAGCCACAGCGCCACTTCTAGTTTTCTGGTAGTTAATTGGAGATGAGTCTCACCAACTTTCCTGCCAGTGGCTTTGAGCTGAGATCCTCAGATATTAGCCTCCTGAGTAGCTAGGATTATAGGCGTGAGCCACCAACACCCAGTTTCACATGAATTTTTCATAGACATAGTATTTACATTCATGCTCTGTTTAAATCCTAAGTTCAACCAATCAAAACAGCAGAATGAACATTTTGTGTAGTGTGCACATTGAGCCTAGCACTACAGCCCATGTTTTATTGACACTGGGCATGGTCTTGTCTAATTGATGGTGTGTCTTCGCAGCATGACCTTTGGGGTAGAACTCTGAATGAGGTGCAGGGTCTCAGCTCTGAGAAGGATTCATCCTCTAAACAGAGACAGAGGGCATACAGGAAAGTATTCCGCATACCTCCTTGGCATGTCTTTAGCATGCAATAATTATTGGTTGAGTGAATGTAATACTTCTTTTTTTTTTTTTTTGGTTGGAATGGGGCTTGAACCCAGGGCCTGGGCACTGTCCCTGAGCTCTTTTGCTCAAGTGTAGCGGTCTATCACTTTGAGCCACAGCATCACTACCAGTTTTGAGTGGTTAATTGGAGATAAGAGTCTCACAGACTTTCCTGCCCAAGCTAGCTTTGAACTGCAATCCTCAGATCTCAGCCTCCTGAATAGATAGGATTACAGATGTGAACCACCAGCCGTTGGCTGAAAAATGTACAACATTTCTAAAAGGCAAAGTCAGCTATGCCTTGCCCATTGATGTGCATGCTTCAAGACTGCGATCACCAAATGGGGCACTGGGCCATACCCAGTCCATCATAAGCCCGCAAATAGAACCTGGAGCTGTTCCTCTTCGGGAGATTCACCCCATATGAAACCAAACCCCATATGAAACCGAAGGCCATCCCCAGCCTTAGCATCCCTCTCAGCCCCTCTCCCAGGCCAGAAGCCCACCAGCCCCTAGAGTCCAAGTAGGAGTAAACTCAACCACAAAAGGCTAGATACACTAGATTTGGCTGGGGATGTTTGTTGTTGTTTTATTTTAGGGATTGGCTAACCATGCAGTGGTTTTTCTCACATATTGGATGTTTCGAAGCCGACCAGCAGCTTCATAGTAGTAAGACCCTGGACATCAGCACCTATATCCAAACCCAGCCAATACTTCCTACAGTGCAGGAGGTCATAGGAATTGAGGTCACATCACTTAATCCCCGCCCCTTTGGTGGAATGCTGCCTGCTGTCTTCCCACCGGCTTCCCTGTCTACACACACAAAGTCACTGCGGGGCTGGGAATGTGGCTTAATGGTACAGTGCTTGCTGGCATGCATGAAGCCCTGGGTTTGATTCCTTAGTTCCACATAAACAGAAAAAAGCAGAAGTGGCACTGTCGCTCAAGTGTTAGAGTGCTAGCCTCGAGCAAAAGAAGCTCAGGCACAGGGCTCAGGCCCTGAGTTCAAGCCCAAGACTAGCAAAAAAAGAAAGAAAGAAAGGAGGGAGGGAGGGAGGAAGGGAAGGAAGAAAGGAAGAAAGGAAGGAAGGAAGGAAGGAAGGAAGGAAGGAAGGAAGGAAGGAAGGAAGGAAGAAAGGAAGGAAGGAAGGAAGGAAGGAAGGAAGGAAGGGTCACTGAGCAATATCTAATGATCAATGAAACTTCAGTGTGAATCCAGTCAGGGAAACCAAAGCAGCTCTGCTAGGATTAAAACTGCTCATTCTTCTAAACCATGATGCATCAGCTTTACAAGCATCTTCCCACTTTTTTTTTTTTTTGGTCTATGGGGCTTGAACTCTGGGCCTGAGCACTATCCCTTAGCTCTTCTGCTCAAGGCTAGCACTCTACCACTTCTGGTTTTCTGGTGGTTTATTGGAGATAAGAGTTTCATGGATTTTCCTGCCCGGGCTGGCTTTGAACCACAATCCTCAGATCTCAGCCTCCTGAGTAGCTACAGGCATGAGCCACCAGTGCCCGGCACATTTTTCTCACTCTCTTACCACTCTATTAACTCTACAGATGAGGGAACCAAACACAGAGAGATGAAGTTGTTCTCCCAAGGTTGCACAGAGACCGAGGGGTAGAACCAGGCTTTGAATCCACAGCCTCAACTTTCAAATTTTAGTCCAAATCCAAGGACATAGAATAGTGAAATTCCAAGAACAGTTATTCCATAACACTAATATACAATAAAGATCTAGGGGAATTCTAATTTGTTTTAATTTGCCAACCTCTTCAGTGGCTTATTTTACCAGAAGAGGAGGAAGCTCAATGTGGTAATGTGTGGGAAATTAGCACATGTGGCCAGGAGTTACAATAGAAACACTTCCAGTCCAATCACAGATTCACTTTTGGTAACCATTTGATAGAAGTACTTTTATATAATTTTACTAGACTAGAAAAGCCACAGGAATAACTCGGTCATCCTGGGAGAGTTGCCTGGCTACATTAATTTCAGATCTTCTGGCTCCAGATGTAAAACAAAATCAAGATTGAGCAACTGTGCTTAACAGAACACAGCTTCTTTCTGGAAATCCATGCAAATGCTGTGTATCAGCAGGAACTACACAGTGCATGTAATAGTAAGAGCTCATCAGCTGGACTGGTCTGGGATGCATCTGGTCTTCTATGTAGTCAGATGTTTTAGTAGGAGGAAGAACTCAGTCCTGACTTTCACTCTTGTTTCTCAAGATGTGTGGGAGGCTTTGCTTCTAACTCCCCACCCCCACCCCTGAAGGGGGCCAGGCAGAGTTCTGGCTTGGTGCTCAAGCTCCTCCAGGATGATCTCTCTCCAGTCCCTAGATATTTAGAGTTTGAATGCTACTGTCAGCAGAGGACCTCCTTGGGTTCTAAAGAAAACAGGAGAATTCTTTTCATACAACCTTTGTCCCTTGTCCTCTGCAGAAGTGATTTTGAGTATTTGTGCAGGAGTTTGCAGCCCCTGAAATCACATGGGCAAGGAGACATCACTTGGGAATGAAATCCGTATTCAGAAGGCCTTTATCGTAAAGAGGTTTTCTTCAGGCATTTGAGGGTCGCCTTTGATGGGCACTGTTCTCACAGGCAAGGGGATGTCCTGAAGATGGACATGTGACCTCTGACCTCTGAGAGGCCAGCCTCCCACCACAGAGAGCTCACGCCCGTGAATACCATACTTCTCCATTTATTTCCAATGGCAGCCTTCTACAACTGCTAAAGTAAGGCAAGAACCCCTGAAGTGAATGCAGGCAATGGTTGGTCTGTGGTGTGTCATCTTTCCTGTGAGAACACTGTCTCATCTGCTGAAAGTTAGAGAACAGAGACAATGAGGTGCTTCTCACAGAAACCACTTGTGGTCACATGTTCATATTCATACTGACTGCTAGTTTCTTCTGATCATATAAAACTGAACCCTAGTTTACAAGTCAGGCAAAGAGTCCATTTCTTGGGGACAATGTCACCCCTTCCCTTACCCTCTCCGAGTTTTCCCCTTCTACCCACAAGTTGTGTAGTTCATTTCCAACATAATATTCAGTGAGTATCACTGAGACAAGTACTGAGTACTGAGAGACAACTACCCTTTGTCTCTCCATTTCTGTGCCTCCCCTTACCCTCTTAAAGACAGCTAAATGAGCAAACAGAACAAAAAGAAAGGGAAACAAAAGCAGTACAAAAGAAAAAGCCTCGGGGCTGGGAAGGTGGCTCAGTGGTAGAGTGCTTACCTCGCATGCATGAGGCCTTGGGTTCGATTCCTTAGCACCACATAAGCAGAAAAAGCCAGAAGTGGTGCTATGGTTCAAGTGGTAGAGCACTAGACTTGAGCTGAAGAGTTGAGGGACAGTGCCCAGGCCCAGAGTTCAGGCCCCATGACTGACAAAAACAAAAAACAAACAACAACAAAAAACACCTCTTCGTTCCATATCTTGAAATTCACTTCAATAAGGATTATTTTGTATGATCAGATGCACATAAACATTGCGCCTTTCTGTTCCTCTCCTAAGAGTGTCCTCCGTTGGTCTCACTGTGTGTGAATGCCTAGAGACCTGTGTAATTTCTCATGTCCCAGTGTATTTTAGATGTAGAAAACCATGCATCATTTGTCTCTCTGAGTTTGGCTTGCTTCACTTAATATGATTTGTTCTAGGCCCATCCATCCATACAAATGACATAATATTATTCTTTCTAATGGCTATATAAAAATCCGCTATGTATAGGTACCACATTTTTTGGATCCACTTTATTGAATGGCATCTGGGCTACTTCCACAGCTTGGATATTGTGAATAGTACAACAATGAACATGACTGTCTTTACAGTATCTTGGCCTGTGATGTTCTGGGTAGATGACCAGCGGTGGTATGACTAAGTCATAAGGAAGATCTATGTGTATCTGCTATCCAGAGTGCTTGTACTAATTTGCATTCCCACCAACAGTGTGTAATAGATTCCTTTTTCTCCACATCCCTGCCAACATTTGTTACTGTTTGAATTCACAATGTTAGCCAATCTAAACAGTGTGAGATGAAATCTTGGGGTTGTTTTGATTTGTATTTCCTTTATGGCCAGAGATGGTGAACATTTCCTCATGTGTTTCTTTGCCAATTCTTACCTCTTCTGAGAAGTCTCTCCTTATCTCCTTTGCCCATGTAGTAATCCTAGCTACTCAGGAGATGAGATCTAAGGATCACAGTTCAAAGCTAGCCCAGGAAATTCCAGGAGATTCTTACCTCCATTTTACCACCAAAGACTAGAAGTGGAGCTGTGGCTCAAGTGCCAGCCTTGAGCAAGAAAAGCTGAGAACCAGGCCCCAAGTTAAGTCCAGGACCGGCTACATACATGCAAACAAATAAACAAAAGAAGTACAACTCAATTCCACTACAAGACTTGCATGAATGTTAAATAACCTTTGTTGGAGGAAGCCTCTGGGGACAATTCATTCCCTCCCAGTCTATGCCACAACCACAGCAGAAAAGAGGTGTTCCTCTGTATTTCAGATTCATGGTCCCCTTTGCTCCTTTCTAATCTCCTTCTAGAATACAGGAGCTGACACACAAGACAGGATCAGGTGAGTGCAGATTATCCATTAAAAAAAAAAGTCAAGGGCTGGGAAGGTGGCTCAGTGGTAGAGCACTAGCCTTGAGCTGAAGAGCTGAGGGACAGCACCCAGACCCAGAGTTCAGGCCCACAACTGGACTCAAAAAAAAAAGTCAATGCCATTATTTTGAAGGTGCTATGGTAATTGAACTTGTGTGTATATGTGCGTGTGTGTGTTTAAATCATTGCTCTACTCCAAATGGAGCTTTCTACTGAGCTCAGATGCCTTCATATAAGTTTAACTCTTACTAAGTATTGGTAGCTCACACCTACTGTAATCCTAGTTACTCAGGAGGCTGAGATCTGAGGATCACAGTTCAAAGCCAGCCCGGCAGGAAAATCCATAAAACTCTTATGTCCAATTAACCACCAGAAAACCAGAAGTGGCACTGTGGCCCAAGTGGTAGAGCACTAACCTTGAACTGAAGAGCTGAGGGCAGTGCCCAGGCCCAGAGTTCAAGCCCCATGACATACCAAAAGAAAAAAAAATTAAATCTTACAGAGTAGGTAAAAGAAATGAAATCCTTCCGCTCAGCATCTCATCTTCTGACACTGTAATGAGTCTTCTGATGGTATCACTGCGCTTTGCATTGAAGTAAGCCACAGGCAGCTGTGACTAGGAAAGAGAGGGAGGGGGAACAGAGCACCGAGCGCTGGGTGTGTTTGCCTTTCAGTGTTGAAGCTTTAGGAACCACTCTCTTAGAGTGTGGCCTGGTCTTTAAGTTGCCAAACAGCTGTATATGCTGAACCTGTGACTACTTGCAGAGCTGTCTTTCGAAGTAGTTTATATGTCACAAGCAATAGAACTGTGTTGTTTATTACTTAGTTACTAGGAAAATTAATAGTAGGAAGTGAGCTTTTGATAACTAAATCTTTTGTGCCAAAATTTCAAACTTGCGCTAATGGGATTTGTTTAAATCTACGGAACAGAATATGTTGGAGCAAGGCCGCCCCAAGACACAGAAAGCAGGGTGTCTGCAAGAACCCCTGCTAACCACAGGCTCAAGTGAGCTAAGTCCCTTCGGAAATCTCCCTGAGGGTTTTCAACACTTCCCACAATGTCCGTATCGGGCATTCTTTTAGGCAGAAAGAAGGAAAGGTTAGCTAAATTCACGATTTATTAGCCCACTTTTTCAATATGCTTGTGGGTTCTGGTTTACCATACCATTCCAACCTTTGATCACTTGCCAAATCAATAATGGGAAATAAACAGTTTGATCCTGTTGTCTTCTTCCGCAGTTGTAAATCAAGAAGGTCAGCCCCTCATGGAAGGAAAGCTTAAGGAAAAGCAGGTCAGATGGAAGTTCATCAGAAGGTGGAAAACGCGCTACTTTACACTGGCTGGGAACCAACTTCTGTTTCAAAAAGGGAAATCTGTAAGTTCCTCTGTTGTCTTTCAAGCTTGCATTTTTTCATTTTTTTTTTTTTATTGTTAAAGTGATGAATGCTTGCAGTTTTTAAGGTCTCATTTCCACCACCCAGCTAAGAGTTTTATATTGGGTTAATCCTCTGATGAAACGCTTTTCCTTTTCCACTCTCCTTTTCTTGCAGTATCATCTTGTGACAAATGTCCTTTTGTCTAGTCTCTGGATTCCTACATTATCTCGCTCATTGTCATTCTTCAGTTTTATATAGAGTCTTTATCTGATTGACTTGAGCATTAGAAATTGAACAGTAGAGCAATGACTTGGCCAGCTTGGCTCAAATACCAGGCATTCTGTTTTCTTATGGACCACCTACACGCAATTGTGACTTATAATATTAACTCTCATTTTTTAAAGTACTATAGGTTATATTTGGAAATGCAAGGCCAAAAAAAAAGAGAACAGTAGACAGGAAGGAAGGAATGAAGGTTGATTTGTTTAAAGTAACTTCTATAGTCAACAAAGCTCCATTTTTATTAGCATATATTAGTTGTACAAAAGAGTTTCATTGTGATCTTCTTGTATCTGCATATGAATACCCCCTAACAAATTCACCTCCACTTGCCCCCATAACAAATTCAGCCCTTCTGGCCCTCCTCCTTACCCCCCTCCCTGCTTCTTGAAATGTTTTCTATAGGTTTCTGCTTCTGTGCATACGTAGAGAGTAACAGAGTTCAATTTTGATTAGGAAAAATACTTGTCTTTCAATCATTTAAAGTTTGGTTCATAATTATTAAAGTAAATGCTAATTTAATTTTCACCCTGAACTAAGATGCTCAGTGAAATGTCTTAATTCTGAATTTTTCTGTGGGAAAATTTCCCCTAAAATAGCATTCCATTCCAGTCAACAATACCAAGTGATCCTTTTCCTCCTCTTTGGAACAGTTTTATTTATTATTCAACTCTACTAAGGCCAAATCAGGGGGAATAAGATCTTGACCAAATTCTTGGCTATTTTGACATTCGAGAATAATCACTTGCATTTATTCAATGTTTATTATGGTCTCGCTGATGGCCTCAAACTATCACTGTTATTACAGATGAGGAAGCTGAGGTTTAGGGACATGGCGTGGCTTGTTTAAGAGAGGAACCCATAACGCAAGGAAGGGTTGGACTGGAGCCACGCTCAGGTGAAGTGTTCCAACCCACGTTCTGAACTGAGGATTCTCTGTAACTTCCCCCACACTTAAAATGCAGAGCCTGTATTAGTCAAGAGCTGTATTAGTCAAGACATAGAACCGAAGGAATACCTGCATTCAGCATAAGTAATAACCGCAAAGGATCAATGGAGTAAAGGTAAGTGGGGAGTCTGATCATATGTACATGTATGGACACATCAGAATGAAAGCCCTTCGTGTAACTAATTGAGGCTAAAAATGATAGAAAAGAGGCTGGACACTGGTGGCTCATGTCTGTAACTCTAGCTACTCGGGAGGCTGAGATCTGAAGATCATGGTTTGTAGCTTGCCCAGGCAGAAAAGTCTGTGAGTCTCTTATCGTCAATATCACACACACACACACACACACACACACACACACACACACACACACACACACACACCAAAAGAGGTAGAGCTCAGGCCTTGAGCAAAAGAAGCTCAGGGACAGCACTTAGGCCCTGAGTTCAAGTCCCAAGACTGGCACAAAAACAAATAAATAAATAAAAGGGAAAGATAAGATGCACAGAGTACAGAAGGGACTTATATTAAGAATTGACTCACACAAGTATGGTGGCTACGAAGTTGCAAAGGGTGGAAGTTCCACAGGCCACCTGGGAGCTGGAGAGCCAGGTGAAATTCTGTCTACCATGTAAGACAGCCAGTGGTGTCAAAGGCCAAGGACTTAGGCCTAGGGGCAGGGAGGGGAGGGGCTGGTGAAGTTCAGAGTCTACAGGCCCAAGAACCAGCAGTTGCAATGCTGAGAGAGGGAAGACGTGCCACCTGCACCTTCTATGTCACCACGTCCCCATTGCTGAGGACAGCTCAGTTTCCCAGTCTACTGACAACGCAGTGCTAATCTCTTCTGTGAACACTTCGCAGACAGACTCAGACATGATGTTTTAATCACTATCTGCATACCTATTAGCCCAGTCAAGTGGACATAGGCACTTAACTACCACAAAAGCCAAATTATGAACTATTTTACTCAACAGGAATCTATTTCGTGTTTACTTGTTGAATGAAAATAAATATTTTGGTGACAATACACATTACTATCTTTGTGTGTGTGGCAGTGGTGGTAGTGTGTGTGTGTGTGTGTGTGTGTGTGCGCGCGCGTGTGTGCCAGAACTGAGGCTTGAACTCAGAGCCTTGCACTCTCCCTTAGCCTTTTCACTCAAAGTGGAGCTCTACCTCCTGAGCCACACCTCCAGCTCTGTTTTTTACTAGTTAATTGGAAATAAGAATTTCTGGGCTTTCTAACCTCAGCCTCCAGCTCTCAGCCTCCCAAGCAGCTAGGCTTACAGGTGTGAACTGTTGGCAGCAGGCTCAAATTGCTTTTTTGATTTAATTTTTTTTGATTTGTTATCACCAAGTGAGCTTTCTGTGCAGGAAGATCTTTAGAAATTCAGTTTAAGCAGTGATTGGAGATTTTTTTGGGGTGGGGTGGGGTCTAGTCATAGGGCCTGAACTCTGGGTCTGGGCGCTATCCCTCAGCTCTTCAGCTCAAAGCTAGCGCTCTACCACTTGAGCCACAGCGCCACTTCCAGCTTTTTTCTTTTTGCTTATGTGGTGCTAAGGAATCAAACCCAGGGCCTCATGCGTGCAAAGCAAGCACTCTACCACTGAGCCACCTTCCCAGCCCAATACTTAATTGGGTCTTTTGTTTGTTTGTTTGTTTTTTGGTTGGTCATGGGGCTTGAACTCTGAGCCTGAGCACTGTCCCTCAGCTCTTCAGCTCCAGGCGAGCGCTCTACCACTTGAGCCACAGCACCACTTCCTGATTGGAGATTTGAAGGAAAGACATTTTTGGCCTAGATTCACATTGAAGCAATTTTAAAGTGTTTAAAATGACCATCTGAATTTCCTGTTTTCCTCCAAAAGATTAGGGAGGGAAGGGGAGAGAACATGGTTTCTAAGACCCCTGATATAGAGCAGAATTCATTTGTAAGTGACCTGTGTGCCTCTCCCTTCAAAGCTTTCAAATAAGGCTTAGAGTAGAAGCTGTTTTCAAAGTAGCTAACTTGTTTGACATCTTTACCGGGGAATAATTGCTTGACATTCCAGAAATCTGACAGAACATGGGGCTCAAAGAGTGGGAAATAATATAATGTCGCACAAAAGCTGCAGCCCAGCGCCCCTACCCTCTGGGGACAAGGGCCAGCCAGTGGCCAGCAGGTCATGGAAAGCTCAGCTGCATATATGAATCTGTTCTTTAAATGAGGATGGTGTGTGCTTCAAAATGAAAACAGGCTGAACGATTACAGTATAATCCTTTACTTTTATATTCCTAATAAGGTCCTGACACCCCAACCAATGAGATGCATGACCTTCACCTCTGACAACTCCCATCTTAACTGTCCCCAGCTCCTCTTTAGTCACTACAGGAACTCCTCCTCATCAATCCCTAAGAGCTGTGACTTCTGTATTATGGACTAAGTCAGAGAAATGCGATCCTATTACCACCAGACATTTCATGTTAGGTTACTCGGGTGGTGTCTTGTGTAAACATCCTCCAACATCATCCTGTATATCCCCAAAAGAATCCTGAAGCATTCTTGAAATAGATACCTTTAGTTGCATTCACATATTTGTCATAAGCACTAGAAGAGTTTGACCTCTGTTGAATTGTAAATATTGACACTTCAACACAAAAGGAATGCATCTCTCCTTTACATGTAATTATTAGAATAAAATACAGCACTTTAATACCTAACACCACCCATTTTATTTATTTATTATTTTTCTGTGCTCATATTGGGGCTTGAACTGAGGATCCAGGCACTGTTCCTTAGCTCTTTTGCTCAAGATAGGCACTCTACTGCTTGAGCCACAACTCTACTTCTGGCTATTGGGTGGTTTATTAGATGTAAAAGTCTCACAGACTTTCCTGCCTGGGCTGGCTTTGAACCACAATCCTCAGAGCTCAAACTCCTGAGTAGCTAGGATTACAAGCATAAGCCACTGGCACCCAGCCCATCCATGTTTGTTTGTTTTTTAAATCTTTTTTGTTTTTTGGGTTTTTTTTGTCAGTCATGGGGCTTGAACTCAAGGCCTGGGAGCTGTCCCTGAACTCTTTTGCATAAGGCTAGCATTCTACCATTTTGAGCCATAGCACCACTTCTGGTTTTCTGGTGGTTAATTGGAGTTCAGAGTCTCACAGACTTTCCTACCCGGGGTGGCTTTGAACCACGATCTTCAGATTTCAGCCTCTCTAGTAGCTAGGATTACAGTCGTGAGCCACCAGTGTCTAGCTCATTTTATTTTATTTTTAATGTCCATAAATTAACTCTTCATTAGTAGAGATATCAACATTGCTTTTTATCCTTCTGTTCCTATTTCTGTTTTACCTCTCCATGACAACTTTATCCTGAAGGCCTGCCATCTTTCACTATAATAAAACCATGTACATAATTGAAAGTTAAGTGTTTTGAGTTATTGTGAGCATCAGTCCCTAAGGAATAAGATTTTTTCCAGCTCAGTTAGCTTTAAAACACATTATAGCATTTGTCTAAAAAAGACTAAATATAATAGCAAAGTTAAGAAATAACTATTGAGCATTATAATGGGAACATCTATTAATGAATTGCAAAGGATATTGAGCTTCCTGATTGACAGCTATTTCCTGGCACCAACAAGTTGAATTCCTTCTGGGGTCAGTGTTGCTGGGGGTTTTCTAAGCTGAAAAACGTGGTTGTAAGAGGGACTGTGGGCAAGAAGAACTAGAAGATTCTTGAACTAGAAGATTCTTTCTTCACTGACAGCATGTATCCAGGATCCTGAAGAGTAGAAATTGCTTTAGAGAAGTTTTTCATTACCTTAAAAAATCACTCCTGGTAGCTGGGAAGGTGGCTTAGTGGTAGAGTGCTTGCCTAGCATGCATGAAGCTCTGGGGTCAATTCCTCAGTACCACATAAACAGAAAAGTCCAGAAGTGGTGCTGTGGCTCAAGTGATGGAGCACTAGCCCAGAGCACAGAGAGGCTCAGGGACAGAGCCCAGGCCCTGAGTTCAAGCCTAGAACTGGCAAAAAAAAAAAAAAAAAATCACTCCTGGTGACAAACATGAGGGCATTAAACATTCCCTCTCTTAGCATTTGAGGACAAAGCATGCTTCCACAGAGCAGAGACTTCAAAAGAGTTTGATCTACTCAAACAAGAGAACTCTGTTTACTCAATTAACAAGTTGGGAAACCCCTTATCAGAGAGATAACAGAGAGAGGGAAAAATGCTGTGCCCCTCAGCCATCTGCAATTGAGTTAAGAATATTCTGAATTGTATGGCCGCCATTGCTCTATGAGTATAGTGCTAACAGCACATAATAGAATGAAGAGTCAGAGAACTGTGGTTCAGGAAATCCTGCCCAGCCACTTGGAAATAATGTCCACGGGCTGCCTGGTGCCTGCTGTAACACAGCCCCAGTCACCAAGTCCTTCTAGATTTCACAAGGCCTCAGCCTCCAACATAGCGAAGGGCAGCGGAAGGAACTGGCCCAGCAGGCTGGGCCCCCTCCGAGCCAGCTCATGTTCTTTCCTTCCCTTGCCTGCAGAGAGACGATGCTGATGATGCCCCAATAGAGCTCAGCAAAGTGCAGAGCGTGAAAGCCGTGGCAAAGACACGCAGGGACCGCGCTCTCCCTCGGGCCTTCGAGATCTTCACCGACACCAAAACCTACGTGTTCAAGGCCAAGGACGAGAAGAACGCAGAGGAGTGGCTGCAGTGCATCAACGTGGCGGTGGCGCAGGCCAGGGAGAGGGATAGCAGAGAAGTGACCACCTACCTGTAGCCAGGAGAGGGAGAGCAAAGACGTGACCTCCCACTGTAGCCTGCCGGGGTCAGGAAGCCAGAATGCCTGCAACTGACCACCACCGGCCCAACACAGCCAGATTCTAGCAAATTCCATGCCCCCAACCGCTACGCTGGCCACAGGACAGCTCTCTGAGCCGTCTGTGGAAGAGCAGCTGGGACCATCTCTGTAGTATGTGGTGGCCCAGAAGGGGCGAGTTTGGGGTGAAGGAACTTCTGCAGACGCACCACGAGAACCAGGAGATGGACTCTGATGAAAAGCAGTCCATCAAAGTGTTAAAGGGGGTGGGGGAGGGGGGAAGCTAGGCCCTGGTGGTTCACGCTTGTCATCCTAGCTATTCAAGAGGCTTGAGATCTGAGGATCACAGTTCAAAGCCAGCCAAGGCAGGAAAGTCCATGAGACTCTTGTCTCTAATTAAAGATCAAAAGGCCAGATGTGGAGCTGTAGCTCAAGTGGTAGAACACTGACCTTAGGCAAAAAGATTCAAGGACAAGCCGGGTGCCAATGTCACATGCCTGTAATCCTAGCTACTCAGGAGGCTGAGATCTGAGAATAGCAGTTCAAAGCCAGCCTGGGCAGGGAAAGTCCATGAGATTCTTATCTCCAATAAACCACTCAGAAGTGGCACTGTGGCTGAAGTGGTAGAGTGTTAGCCTTGAGCTGAACTGCTGAGGGACAGTGCCCAGGCCCAGAGTTCAAGCCCCACGACTGACCAAAAAAAGAAAGGTTCAAGGACAGCACCCAGGCCCTGAGTTCAAGCTCCAGGACCAACACACAGATAAGTAAATAAATAAGAACCTACCAGGAAATATCAAAACATTACATTGAATAATACCATTTAACTCACTTATAAGCATAGAATTACATCCATCTTCTTTTTACAAATAATGCTAATATGTGGTCAAATTGTTCTCAAATTAAGACACTTATGTATTTAAGTGGCTGTCTTTTAGAGTTGCTTATTTAACTGCCCAGGAAGCCACTATAAAATAAATAGAGCATAGAAAGCCTTTTTTTTCCCTCTTCCCTGAGCTTGAAGAGTGAGTTAACGGTGTGTGCATTTCTTCTTTTGATTCAACCTTGTAGTGTCTTCACATTGCCAGCATTTATGGTTTTGCCATTGCTTATGTATATAAACTTATTAAGGTGCTGCATCCAGGACTGTAAGACAGATTCCAGTAACCCAAACCTGGTATCGGGTCCAGCCCTGGGGGCAACAGTGGCCCCTAAGATTGTTTGCTTGTTTTAATTTTATTTTTGTCATGGGGCTTGAACCCAGGGCCTGGGCCCTGTCCCTGAGCTCTTTCACTCAAGGCTAGCACTCTACTACTTTGAGCCACAGCGCCACTTCCCATTTTCTGGTAGTGAGTTGGAGATACGAGTCTCACAGACTTTCTACATAGGGTTGACTTTGAACCTGGATCCTCAGATCTCAGCCTCCCTAGTAGCTAGGATTACAGCTGTAAGCCAAAAGCTTAAGCTTGTTTTTTAACCTAGGTGATATTACAAAGGAGACAAGATCATCCCTTCCCATGATCATAGTGACAAATGTGAAAAGATTCTTTTGGATGAAGTTAAGACCCTGATCAGTTAGCTTAGAATTAACCATAGAGATGTGGTGGAAAGGCCTGACCTAATCAGGTAAGTTCCTTAGAAGAGAGTGAATGAGCCAAGGACTTTCCTCTAGCCTGGACTGAGCTTGGCACACCAGTGTTGCCATGTGACCTGGCAGCCGGCTGTGAACCTGTAGGAGAGCCCTTGCCCACAGCACCTAGGTGTGCCTTAAGGAGTGCACAGCCCAGCTCACAAAAATGCTGAGCGAGTAAACATGAACTGTTCTAAAATGCTAATTTGTTGGCAGTTTTAGCAAGTATTTCAGCATAATAGGACAAAGTAGGGAAAATAGAAGAAGAAAGGGAAAGAGAAACATTTCCCTCCCCGTGTGGAAATGGGAGGTAAAGTCTTCCTCTGGAGCCAGGGGTCAGCTGCTGCCTTCCTAGCTTCTCCAGAGGCTCAGAATTAGAGGAACATAATTCAAAGTCAGCCTGGGCAGAAAAAAATCCACAAAATTCCATCTCCAAATAACCGGCAAAAAGCCAGGCTGGAGATATGGCCCAAGTGGTAGAGCACCAGCTGAACAAGGTGAGTTAAGCTAACACCCTGAGTTCAAGCCCCATGGTAGCAAAGAAAATTTTTCTTTTTAAAAAATAATTTTTAATACCAGTAATTAATATTTTAATGGAAAACCTTACCTGACTGGACAGAGGATAATTATTTCCTTGACATTTACTTACTATCCAGTTTAGTGTAGAATCCCTGAGGAAGATTACAAACAGCCGACACCCTGACTCCCCCGCTTACTGACTGGGAGAAGGACTATAAGAGAGGTCATGTTTGAGAAACACACTTAAATCAATTGTAACTTAGGGAGTGTAAGTGTACTACGAGTCACGGATGTCAGCACACAATGGAAATAGAGTTCTAGAGGGCAAAATTGGAATACATAGGTAGCTGCTAAACGTCTGCAGCTAGATGAAATCACCTAAAAAGAATAAGAAACAAGCCAGGCACCAATGGCTTGCACCTGTAATCCTAGCTAGTTAGGAAGCTGAGATCTGAGGATCATGGTTCCAAGACACCCCAGGGAAGTCTGTGAGACTCTTCTCTCCAATTAACCACCTAAAAACCAAAGTGGTGCTGCGGCTTCAAGTAGTAGAGCACTAGCCTTGAGCAAAAATGCTCAAGGAAAGCACGTAATCTCTGAGTTCAAGCCCATGATCACCAACAACAACCACAAAAAAAAAAAAAGAATAAGAAACACAAGGATTCGTGGGACCTCTTAGTACAGCCGCATTTAAGCAAAGGCAGGCTGGATGGGCTGGGTAGTGCTCATCTGTAGCCCAGGAAACATGACACAAAAACCAGATTACACAGGATTTGGGGCAGGTGGGGGGAGGGGGAGTCAATGATTTGAAATTATGAAGAGTAATAACTCAAGACAAAGCTTGACTTTCACAATTAGGACGCAAGTTAAATTTCAGAATACTGGAGAATTCATGAGAGGCGAGGAACTAAAGCCTTATAATTGGACTGGCTTTTCAAAAAAAAAAAAAAGCCTGAGATGAAAAAGGTAGCATGAGAATATGTTTTCTTGTTTGCTTTTTAGCATGTCTTAAGGGAAGTGAGAAAGGTAAAAGTAAAGCTAGGAAGGGAGCAACACAGAGAAAGAGAAAAATAACTTTGTTCCTGACTGGGGATATAGCTAACATGGTTGAGTGCCTGCCTGGCATCTGCAAGGCCCTGAGTTCAAACCTTAGTTCCACCAAAAGAGAGAGAGAGAGAGAGAGCACAGAGGAGTCTGTCCCCTCCCCAGCCACCCTGGCTCTGCGATCTCTCCCGCCTGCCATGGTGGTAAAGCCAGCCCAGGGCCTGGCTCTGGGACCTCTAGAACTGAGCTGTTTAAACTCCTCTCATTCACAAAGGTAGCCAGCCTCCACTTTTTCACTCTAGTATGGGAGAGACTTACACAAGCAGTGGAGAGCCGTGAGATCATCAAATAGTCGCAGAGGCTCGGGTGGCATTGCAACTGTTATTAAGTTTAAGAGCCAACAATGAGCTCAAGCCTTTTAGGAGAACACAGTACACAAGAGCATGTTGTTAAAAAATAAAAATTGGTTAATTGCAGATTCTTTTCCCACTGAATGCCTGGCCCAAGAAAAGAAAAACTCTACCAGCTCAATCTGAGGGGGAAAGAATTTACTTTTATCATTTATTACAAAATCTTTGTGAGGGGCTGGGAAGGTGGCTCAGTGGTAGAGCGCTTGCCTTGCATGCATGAGGCCCTGGGTTCGATTCCTCAGCACCACATAAGCAAAAAGAAAAAAGCCGGAAGTGGCGCTGTGGCTCAAGTGGTACAGTGCTAGCCTTGAGCTGAAGAGCTGAGGGATAGTGCCCAGGCCCAGAGTTCAGGCCCCACGACCGGATCCCCCCCCCAAAAAAAAAAAAAAATCTTTGTGATTTAGTTCATCAAACGCCTATAATGACATCATGGTTCTCCATGCCTCTGGACATGATCTAAGGAGAAACAAATATAAGTATACTTAATGCCCTTCGTGGCTTTACTCCCTGATCCATTCCAAACGCAAGTTGATTTTCCTGGGCTCAGGAGTTTCAGGGTCCAGCTTCTAGTGGGAGTTTTAAGGGCCCCAGCTTCCAGTGGGAGTTTCAAAGGCCCCAGCTTCCAGTGGGAGTTTCAAAGGCCCCAGCTTCCAGTGGGAGTTTCAAAGGCCCCAGCTTCCAGTGGGAGTTTCAAGAGCCTCAGCTTCCACTGGGCTTTCCTGGCCCTTCCACCCAATGCCATGGGCTCACCACAGACTGACTGGACCTTCCCCGGGAGCGGCCATTCTTGTGCAAACACACTGATGCCTTAAAAAATGTTGGCTTGAATAAAATCTTTATCATGAAAAGAAATTCACACGGCCTTCACGTGTATTTCATTTTGATTCTTTTTCCCCAAATAACCTTGGAAGCATAGACGTGTAGGTGTAAAGATCTTAACTGGCTGTTTTTTAAGAACCTCGAATTTGGTAAATAATAATAGCTGGGCACCAGTGGCTCACCTGTAATCCTAGCTACTCAGGAGTCTAAGATCTAAGGATGGCGGTTCAAAGCCAAGCCAGGCAGGAAAGTCCATGAGACTTATCTCCAGTGAATCACCAAAAAAACAAAAGTGATGCTATGGCTCAAAGTGGTAGAGTGCTAGCCTTTAGCAAAAAAGTTCAGGGACTGCACCCAGGGCCTGAGTTCAAGCCCCAGGACCACCACCAACAACAACTAATAATAACAACAACAAGAACAATGCTCAATGCTTTTCTTCTTTCCTTCCTTCCTTCCTTTCTTTTTTTTTTTTTTTTTTTTTTTTGGTCAGTCATGAGTTCAAGACCCACCGCCAACAACAACAACGAAAAAAGACCCTCAGAATCGTTGGTACAGGACGAGGCACGTGTGCTCCTGTAAAGCCTGCAGTTAGAGACAGGGCTGGGAGAGAAGCTCAGCACAACCCCAGTCCAAAAGTCAGTCCAAAAAAAGTCAATAGGCCTACCACCTGACCCAGAAATCTCCCAAAGATTTGGAGGCCAGTATTTCACAATCAAATATTTGGGATAAAAGTTCATGTGTGTACATGTCCCCATGTTCATGATGGTGCTATTCACG